TGAGTTTATCATCGTACTTCTGTAGTTCTGTTTTTGTTGCTTGTTGTCTACTTTTCCAAGAAGTATACCAATGCCTTGATATGTCCCAAAAGATTTATTCTAGCAATTTCAAAATTTCTGTTACTATATTAATGTTTTAATCCAGCTCAAGTTGAGTTTTGTATATGATTAGCGGTGGTACATATGTTCATTATTTTGTGCATATATACCTAATTCCGCCAGCACCATTTGTAGCAAAGGCTATCCTTTCTCCAGAGCATGTTCTTTCAATCTTTGTGAAAAATCACCTGGGGTGTATGTGTGTGGATTGATTTCTGTCATGACCTACATGCCAATTTTATATTGGTACCATGCTATCTCAATTACTGTAACTTTGAAGTATATTTGGAAATCTGGTGTTGTATTGCCGTTAGCTTAATTTTTATGCTCAATACTGCTTCAGATAGATTTTTTAAAACTTTATATAAACTTTAGGGTTTTTTAAATTAATGCAGAATATAATCTCCATGAATACAAATACTCTTTATGACAGTAAATCTGTCCTGTTTTCCATTATATCCCAATATATAAAAAAGAACATACAGACCCCTCTGTGGCTTCCTCCCTGATGGATGTTTTATCTTAGGTTAATTTGCATTTCTTAGGGTTTTTAAAAAAACAAGAGAATTAACATATGTCTCTTTTTAAAATATTAATGTATTTGATTTGAAATTCAGACTTTGTACAGGGAAGGAGAGAGAGAGAGAGAGAGAGAGATCTTTTATCTTCTGGTTCACTTCCCAAATAGCTACAATGACCAGAGCTAAGCCAGTCTAAAGGTAGGAGTCTGAAGCTTCTTTTTGGGTCTTGTATGAGAGTGTAGGGCCCCCAGGACTTGAGCCCTCCTCCACTGCTTTCCAAGGTTATAAGCAGGGAGCGGTTATAAGAAGTGGAGCAACCAGGACCCAAACCATATTGCAAGTGGAGCAGTAACTGACACCCAAATGGAGATGTTAGCACCGCAGGTCAAAGATTAACCTGTTATATCACCATGCCAATCCCAATATAGTCCTCTTAAAAAAAGAAAAACAAACAAGTATGTATTTTCATTTTATTAGAAAAGCAAAAAAGAGAGAGAGAAACAGACAAAGGAAACTCTTTCATCTTCTAGATCACTCCCTAATGCCCACAACACCTGTGGCTTGGTCAGGTCAAAACCAGGAGTTAGAACTTCATCCAAGTTTCTTATACGAGTAATAGGGCTTAGCTACTTGAGCCATTACCTCTGCCTTTGGAGGAAGCCGGCATCCGAAGTGCAGCCAAGATTTAAACCTAGCATTGCGATGTGGGAGACAGACATTAAAGGGCACTCAGTTACTGTGCCGAACACCCACGTCGGAATTTTGTGCAAATGGAAGAATGTAACAAACATCATTTTCTGCTTGTCATCTTTCACCCATCACAGCTATTTAGAGTTTCTTTGGTGTACAGATTGCAACAACTTATGAGTCATGATTTTGATGTTGAACTTAAGATACACATATATGCCTAACTTAAAGTGAAAAATGGTTTCTCCTATCTGTGGCTGCTTTAAAAGCTTGTAAAATATGTACATTACATTTCAATCCACTTTCCATGAACTTTTGAATTACCCTCATATCATTCTCCATGTTTATAGTTTTAGATTTCACAATTACGTTTGTGGTCAGCTTTGTGATACAGTGTAGCTGTGTGGTTATATGGGGCTCATCAAGGTAATACAGAATTATCTTCCTCTCCAGCAATCATTAACTTAAACATTTTTGCCCCCTCAGGTGTCATACGTAGGTCCCAAAGATTTGGACACGGATATCTTTGGGGGAAGGTACATAATTTTGCTTACCATAAATGCTTTATTTTAAAAAAGCATTCCTTGGTTTTTCTCGTGTGAACTTTCTGCTGCTCTGAAATTCCTGCATTTGATGAATGTTTGGATACAGGAGGGAAAGATTAAAGCATGAACCAAGTTTTGTCTAAAGAAATACATTCAGCTTGTTGTGGAAAGGGCATAGACTTCAGAATCAATGGGATTTGAAATTAAATCCCAAGGTTTCCCATTGTTCATTTCATGACCTCAGGCAAGGTCATTTATTCTTGCTTTCAGGTTTGTATTTTAATGTAGGATGGTTGTGCTTGCCGTGTGCTATCTTAAGGACTCGAGAGCTAAATTTAAATTGGCCGAGTAGCATTTGGCACATAAAGTATATGATGCTAAGTTTTGTGTCTCCCAGAAACCCTTGCTTCCATGAGGCTGCATTTTTTCTGTACAAAGAACATGATTTATTTTTTCCTCCTCTTATAGCATTAGTTTAGTCTGCCCCCAAATCATTCACTTTCATATATACATGTGATAGATGTTAAAAGAGTAGAGAGCCCCAGTTTGTGTCCTGATGTCAGCAAGGCCTCATTCCTGAGTCCTTTTCTCAGAAGCCGGGAGACAAGCGCAGTAAGTGTTGAAAGGCTGGTTGGGGCTCAGCACAGGTGCGTTCCTTTCCTGGGTTATGTTCTGAGGCGCAGTGAGTCTGGTTCACCTGTAGAGGGAGCTCTGCGTGAAGGAGAGTCGGGCGAAGCAGCTGAAGTCTGGCGCTGCTTTTTTTAGATTCTGTTTTTAGCAAAACTGATTAAACCGTGATTTAAATTGCACAGATTCACTACCATGTGACATTATGGGTGCATTTGTTAAAGTTTGAGGCAGAGCATTAATTTGGGTTCATTCTGGGCTAGCAATAATGTGAATGATTTCACAAAATGTTCTTGGCAGAAAGAGAAAATTCAAATGATCTCGCATACCTTCAGTGATGGCCCAAGTTTATAAACCTCATAGCTAAGGCAATATATTTTTGGCATATATATATATATATATATATATACATGAATATAATTACTCTAAAATAAAGAAGGCAGTAATCATTTTAAATCTTCAAAACCGTAACCTTTCAAAGAAATTAATTCTTCTGGTGACAACGATTGCTGAAGCAATAAAGTATAAATGGCAAGTCTAAATAGGCAATAAAGTATAAATGGCAATAAAGTATAAATGGCAAGTCTAAATAGGAGAGAGTTACAATTTGCATCAACCATCCAGATAACCTGGAACACCCATCAGGTTAATTTTAGCTTATTGAAAAAGTGAAAATGTCAAACGAGAAAGATGCCAAGGCTAACACCAACATCTAGTATTAATAAGTAAACATTAAAAATGTATTAAGAACTTAACGCTGAATGGAGCAAAAAAGATAATGTAGTTTACAATCTTTCTTATAAGGTATTATTAAACTCAGTTTTCAAAGCAATTTTGTATGAAATACTTTATAAAATAAGGAAATGAATTCTTATCTTAGACAAAGGGAACTTTTATTTTCCAGTGAACTTGTATTTGCAATAATTTGATCAGCTTTGGGTAACATGGATCTGAGTTTGGGCCCCACAGTGCAGATTTCAGTTTCTTAACTCGCCAGATTTTTGGCAAATTCTTCATCTCTTCGGGGATTGCTGGTAGTGAACCCTCTACACGCTCCAACTTTATTTTTTTTTGCCAGCCTCAACTTGAGCTTTGGGCTGAGTTTAAATATTTTATGTTCTCAATAGTCTTCTCTAAATTATATTTTCATCCTTCTATACTTCTTTTAGTTTTTTTTTTAAGATTTATTTATTTTTATTTTAGAAGGGAGATTTAGAGAGAAGAGCCAGAGACTTTCCATCCTTTGGTTCCCTCCCCAAATGGCTCTGAGGGCCTGAGCTGGGTCCGTCTGAAGCTGGGAGTCAGGGGCTTCCTCGGTCTCTCCCGTGTGGGTGCCGAGGTCCAAGGACTTGCCTAGTCTTCCACTACTGTTGCCGTTCATTAGCAAGGAGTTGAATTGAAAGTGTTGGCACCCAGAACTTGAACCATATGGGATGCAGACACTGCAGACAGAGTCTTAATCTACTCCTAGTTAGGCCCCCATTCAGTTGTTTATTTCCATAGCTGCAGAAAACAGGTGTCCTATTCCAGCTATTGGTTTAGAATCTTGTCTTCACTGCACTGTGGTCGGTAGTGGACAATGGTGTCTTATTTTGCATAGCTGTCCTTTAAACTTCCCAGGAAGAATAGCATAGGCTTTTGTAAATACAATGAAATCAGGCTGGATTTTTATAGGGCTAATGATGACAGTGCCTGGTATCCACAGGTATCTTCAAGTCCGCAGGATGAACCTGATAATGACCCATGGTGATGCCCTGACTTTGAGGGGAGCCGCACATACAAACTAGAGCAGCTATTCTGTCTTCTTTTCAGAAATAAACACTTGCTCTTTATTATATTCAGTGTAAGAATATGCATTTTCTTCCATTTAATGTTTTAGGAAAAAAACAGACCAAATTCATATGTCTTCCTGGCACCTATATGTAAGTTTCTCATTAGGCATATTGAGGAAAGGCTGAGAATACCCCTGGGAAAATGCACTCTGCTGGTATACCAGGAGATGCCCTGGACAGACTCCCACGGCTCTGGCTTCCCGGTGGCCCCTTTGTTTACCCTGTCCTCCCTGCTCAGAAGCCAGTATTTAAGATCCTTTCCTTAAAGAAATCAGCCCATATCATTGGAGAACTTCTGTAGGCTTCCCAGTGGACTTGGCATCAAACAGAACTCTTTGTTCACCCCGTGGTCTCCAGGAGTCTGGCTCCTGCCCACCCACTGCTCCTCCATGCTCCTCTCTCAGCCTGCGGGCCTTTGCTCGCAAACCACAGCCACAGGGCCTTTCTTCTCCTGGTTGCCCTTCCGGCCTTGGAAGGGCTTTGTCTTGGGCAGGGCTCTCCACTCACCTCTTTGAGAGACCTGCGCTCTCTTGTCCTCTGAATCCTACATTCAAGAGACATTTTTAGCCTCTTCTGATTGCCTCGTCTAAATAGATCCTGAAATGTTCCAAGCGCATCGTCTTGGTTCGTGTTTATGGCAGCACTTAGCACTCCCTGACCTCTTCTTGCTATTTGCTCATCATCTTCTACCTCTCCACTCAGTGGTAGAATTCATTGGAGCAGATGATGTGGCGTGTTTCTCTCTGTGCCCCTGACTGCACCCCAAACCCCGGCAGAGCAAAGGGGAGCACAAAAGTATGCGTTAAACAAGTGCATTTAAAAAATATAGCATGGAGTTTCAGCATTGCTCGTTGCTCTGAATCTATGTCCTGATATTGAAAGGGAAAATGTTTGCTGAGGGAGTCAGGCTTGAGAATTCATTCAGATGAATTTATCTAAATGTTTATAAAATGGGGGGACTGCTGGAAAGGTCTGCTTCTTAAGAAGCAAATGTTGAAAACAGACAGATGGGAACAGTCTGCCGGAGTCAAGCTGGTGCAGAGAATATACAACTTTTCTCAACAAGTTTTGCTGAAAATAGCGTCAAAGCAAAGGTGAGAGTGCTAGGATTGGGGAAAGTATTTTGTTTCTCTTTTGTAAATGGAGGAAATGGGTACATGTCTTTAAACATGATACAATGACATGGATTCCATGAATTCATCATTAAATACATGACAGGAATTTGGCTTTTTTGCAAATGTAGGGTATTTTAACTTACTTAGAGAAAAATGTAGTCTTTAGGAAGAGACAGAAATATGTAAACAGGGTGTATTTTTGGGGTACTTGCTGAGGAGAGGATCAGAAAAGAATTTTGAAGGTGATGTGGCGGCAAAGTACGCTAATCAACTGCCTGTGGTACCTGTGTCTATTGTGGGCTCTGGTTTGTGCTCTGGCTGCTCCAACTGTGATCCAGCTTCTCGTTGGTGACCGAGGAACCCAGCAGAGGATGGTTCAGGAGCCTGGGACTCCTACACCCTCCCAGGAGTCCCAGAAGAAGCTCCTGGCGTCTGGCTTCAGATCAGCTTAACTCTAGCAGTTTGGTCATTTGGGGCATAAGCAAGTCGCTAGAAGACCTCTCTCTGTATTTCCCCTCTCTCTTTCTCTAATTTTGACTTCCAAGTAAAATAAATACATCTTTAGGGGGAAAAAAAGAAAAGTATTTTAGCATAGCATGCACAAGTTTAGCAAGTAAGAATTGTACCTGTTTAATTATCATATGTAGTGCATAGTACACCAATGTAGTGTGAACAGCAGACTATGCTGACTCAGCCTTCTTCACTAAATTCCAGTAGTGAGATCCTGGAAATTAGCTCTTTGCTGCCCAAAATATATGTATTTTTCAAATGTAAGGATTTTTATTGTTTTTGTAAGGCTTGTCGTAGGTCTGGGACTGTAATTAACAGGAAGGTGGCAGGTTTTGAAAGGAGAATGCACTAAAAGCAGGAGGGAGGAATGAGATGGACACAGGTTCGTCTACTTGAGCCCGCTGCCCTCGTGGCCGTATGTGTCCCTTGGAAAGCACATCAGGTCTTTCAAAGATGAAATCAATTAACACACAGTACAGCGAGGACATGCCTAAAAATGTAAGACTGCAAAAACATTTCCTGGCAGAATTATACATTATTTTTTTAGACTGAAGAATACTAAAAATTATTTGTTATAGCATTTTCTAAACTGAAGAATGAAATTTTTTTATGAGCTGCTAGTAGGCATGATATAAAAAAGTGAGTTCTGTGGTTAAGTAAGAATGGAAAGCATTATATGCAATATTTGATCAAAAAATCCCCAAATCTTATTATTAAATGAATACTCATCAAAAATTCATTTGTGACAAAATGTACAAAGTGTTGGGCCCGGCATGGTGGCGCAGTGGTTAAGGTCCTCGCCTTGCACGCCCGGGATCCCATATGGGCGCTGGTTCTAATCCCAGCAGCCCCGCTTCCCTTCCAGCTCCCTGCCTGTGGCCTGGGAAAGCAGTCGAGGACGGCCCAAAGCTTTGGGAACCTGCACCCACGTGGGAGACCCGGAAGAGGCTCCTGGCTTCAGATCGGCATAGTATCGACCCGTTGCGCTCACTTGGGGAGTGAATCATCGGACGGAAGATCTTCCTCTCTGTCTCTCCTCTCTGTATATCCGCCTTTCCAATAAAAAAACATAATAAAAATAAATCTTTAAAAAAAATGTACAAAGTGTTTACCATGTGCCTAGCACTGTCCAACATGTTTGGGCTAAACCAGTGGCAAAATAGGCACAGAATCTTATTGTTGAGGAATTTGCGTGATGAGCAATTGAACCAGGAATGAACAATAGAGAGAAAAATAATCTATAGAATATGATAGAACATTATAAATGACATGAAGATGGTTGGAGGATGCTAAAAGAAGTTAGGGACATGAACAGATTTTCTTCCATATTAAATCCGATGGCCAAGGGAGGACTCATTGGGAAGATAACATTTACACAGAAACATGAAGGACAGAAGGGAAGTGATGCATAATAAATACCTGCTTGAGCAGAATAACATTTCAGGAAGAAAGAGCAGCCACTGCTACAGCAAGAACAGATCTGCTATTAAAGGAAAAGCAAGGCAACTGTTATGGCTTGTGCAAAAGACACACAGACAGTGAAGAGAGGAGAGAGTTCACAAATCCTTTCTCTGGGCTATCCAAGGCTTGTGCTGAGCAGAGAGATGATGACTTTGTGACCTAAATGGAGAGTTTCAGTTGCTGCATTGATAAAAGATTTCATAATTCCCAGGACAAAAGCAAGGAAGGCTTCTAGGGTTCCTAGAAGAAAATATGAATCTTGAAGGGAAACTAGCAGTGAATACGGAAAAGAGGGTGTATTTTAGATACCAAGCCAAGAGAAAATTTGCAGAGAAGACACATGATGTGACACAAAATGGAGATTGAGTTGCCATCAACTGAGATGCGTAAGGCTATGCATAGAGCTGGGTCTATACATCAGATCAGGAATTCAGTTTAGGATTCATTTGTGATCCTTTAGACCCTTAGAAGTAGAGATACTAGGAATATAGTTCCATCTATGAGTCAAATCAGAAGGAATCAGCACAGTGATTGTATTTAATAGCATGAAATTGGAAAAAAGCACCATGATCATGTCAATAGAATTAGAAACACAGGATAAGCCTGGAAGTCCCTGGCATCACTGACCCTGGAGAGAAAGGCAGAAGCCACGAGGAAGATGGAGGAGTGACCATCACATTGGTCAGTGAGCCACAGGTACAAGGTAGCCTGGCCGAATTGATAGCCCCTCAGTGTCAGATGCTCCTGCCAGGCCCAGGAAGGTGAAGACTGAGAGTTTGACCTTGGAGTTGGCAATGACCTTGAACATGCAATTCTAGAAGAGCAATGGGGTTAAAACACATGGAGGTGGCTTTAGAGGAGAAGGAGAGGACAGGAATCACTGCAGGTGATTAAAGATTCTTTTGCAAGAACTTTTGCTGCAAGTGGGATTTAAGAGAGGATGGGAGGAAAGCAGGGCCAAGGGAAACTTGGTTTTTCTAGAATAAGCAGTTGTATGCTTGTATGCTCCTCCTAGTGAGCTGGAAGACGGTGGAACCTGAAAGACACAGAAGAGAGCAGGGAGAAATTTTTAGAACATTTTCCTTTAGACACAAATAATGCTACAAATTTCAGCTTTAATGTCATCGTGAAAGTTTACTCAATAGTAACTGGTCATGAGATGGTCTATGGGGGCAGGGAGAGGTGATTAGGAGAACGTTTAAAAGCCCTCTTGTCACGGAGCCCCTTCCCCTCTCTTGCCACCCCAAATCTAATGACTAAAAATGTATCCTGCTTGCCATGGAACATTGGATACACTGGTTTATTGTCACTCCTTCCCTTTACCAAGGAATAAATATTATATAGAGAGGCTAGTCCTAGATCGCATATATTATTAATATTAATAACGCTTCCCTTTTTAATGATTAATGTGTGAAGCAGGGAGAAAAAAGGAAGGGAGGGAAGTAGGAAAGATTGAGATAGAGAGAAGTAAGACTGGCTCCTATTTGCTTCTTCACTTAGCAAATGCCCACCATAGTTAGGGCTGATGTGTGGATCTGACAATGGAATCCAGAGATTGCCCATGGGCGGCATGAACCCAAAGATTTGTGTCATCGCCGCTGCACCCCAGGGTCTGTAGTGACAGCAAGCTGGGGTCAGGAGCCAGAGCTGGGAATAAGCCTAAGGATTCTGGACATAGGATGGAGAGTCTTAACTGCCAGGCTTCACACTCGCAGCAACACTTATTTTTTTTAAAATCATCTAGTTGAGCATCAAAGGACAGAATTATCTCAAACCTTTCACCCAAAGTAATGAGAGGAAACTGCAGGTAATTTGAGTTGTTGTTTCTGTTCTGTACCTGGTAATACAGACCTAATAAATATTTGATAATTGGATTAATGAATTATTAAACGATATGTTTGTCTAAACAGGAAGCAAAAATATGGAAACCCATGCAATTCTCTAATTATTTTAATAAAGGGCAATTAAACTTTTAAGTTCTAAGTGATTTAGAAATGTGAGAATTATCCTGTCACAGCGTCATTGTTTTTATTTTTTTCTGCTGCTATAAAAACTTACTTCAAATTTAGCAGCTTAAAATGAGACTGTGTATTATCTCATAGTTTTTTCTTTTTTTTTGGATAAGAAGTCTCACATGTTTCATGGGGTAAACCAAGTTGTTAACTGTTATTGGGCCAAGTGTGATGGTTCAATGGCTAAATCTTCACTTTTTCAAGTACTGTAACCATATGGTGCTAGTTCATGCCCTGGCTACTCCACTTCCCATCCAGCTCCCTGCCTGTGGCCTGGGAAAGCAGTAGAGGACGAGCCCAAGCCTTGGGACCCTGTACTTGCTTCGGCTCCAGCACTTGCAGTCCTTTGGTGGGTGAGCCAACACGTGGAAGATCTTTCTTTCCTTCTCTCTGTAAATCTTCCTGTCTAATAAAAATAAAGTTAATCTATAACAACAATTTAAAAAAACCCTAATAAAATGTTCCTTACTGAAGACTCTGGATGGATAAACTGTTCTCAAGCTTGTGGGCATTGTTGGTTTCATTTGGTTTCTTGTAGTTCTGAGGTTTCTGGTTCCCCAGCTGCTGTCACCCAGGAGTTGCCCTGCTTCTGGAGGCAGCTCACACCTTCCATCATTCTGCTCTCCTTACCTCCTCCAGCTGTGGTCCAGAGAGAGTCACACATGGAATCTCTCTGACATCTAGCAAAAACAGCTCTTTGCTCTAGAGTTCATCTGATTTGGCTCAGATAGATAAGCCAGTACAATTTCCTCATAATGGTAATCATTTTCATGAAGTCCCTTTGTCATACAATTTATTCCTAAAGATTGGGACATGTACATTTCTGGGAGAAATCATTGTGCTCACCAAAATATTTCAACAAAAAACTCAAGGCAGAGGCAGGTGCTTGGTGCTATGGTTGAGACCCTGCTTGGAATGCCCTCATTCCTTATTGGAATTCATTCCTTTGGGTGCCGGCTTCTCTCCCAATTCCAGTTCCTTGCCATTATACAAACCATGAGGCTGAAGGTAGTGGTTCAGGTGGTTGAGGTTCCTGCCTCGTGACTTTGGTCTGTTGTTGTGGAGTCTACAGGGAGTGAGTTAGCACGTGGGAGATCCTTATCTGTCTGCCTCTATATCTGTTTTGTGCTCTTCCATTCAGATGAATACAATAAATAAAAATTTCAAAATAATATAAAAAGTGAAAATCCAAGTCATTTACGAAAGATATTCCTATAAAATTATGTTTTGCCCATATGATAAGACATTACAGATGTTATCACCTCAGAGACAAGAAAAGTCACAAAAAAATAAATGCAATCTAAAACCTAATTGATTTTCCCAATAGCATGCTTTTCCTTCCCTTTCCATCACATCGTATCTCATCGCACTGCATTCTTAGGTGGGCAATTTCTAAGTGCCAGCCACCATCACAAAGAACCACAGATACAAAAATGGAAGATTATTTCTTAGGTTGTAAAGAGCTCATTGCTTATTTGGGAAATACCTTACAAACACAAATTGCAGCAATAAGTTGTGAATGGACATTAGTGGACAAAGAAATAGATCAAAACTATATACACCTAAAATCCCCAAAATTACATTGAATCACGAGAATATAAAGTAATTAAATTTTATAAAAGCTTCAATAGTGTCTAGAAACCAGTTTATTGCTTGTCTGCATTTTCAACTGATTAGTAAAAATATTTCTGTGGCAAAAAAAAAAATATTTCTGTGTATTGCGTTGTGGTTGAAAAAGACATTTCAAAGTTGGCAGGAGCTAACTAGTTTTTCTATAACTTAATCTTAAAAGGGTAAATTAAATCCTAAAAAAATCACGGCTGCTCATGAGCAGTTGAGTAGAAGAGAAAAGTTAAGCTGGAAAGACACCTGCTTATTTCTCTAGGTAGTCCTGGATACCCTCCACGTGACGCCTTGGCAACTGCTTGCCTTGTGCATTGTACAACACTGCTCAAATATTCATTGACATGACTCAACAGGTCTTGGCACTGTCCTTCTCAGATAAGAAAGACCTAGTATTTTATTATCACAATTAAGACAAGTGGCTATAGCCATGTATTGCCATTTATTATACTTTTGGATGCCAATATTGTAAGTGAAGCATAAGTCAGGCTTACCATAAGTCAGGCTACTGCCTTCACTGGACCAACATAGCTGTGCTTTGTGTAGTAATTCTAATTAATAGTAGAATTTCACCACATACAGACGCTGTTTTTTTCCAAAAACATGTTAAATATGTTTGCCTACTACACACCTATTTTGGATAAGTTAGCATTTAGCTATTAACCCAGTCTGTTTCCCCAATTTTCTACCCACATTTAGGGAATTGAGTAAATTGCCATCTCACATTATTATCCAAAGAAAATGCATTCAGTGAAAGGTCATTAAAACTTCAGAGAGTAGAGCTCTCAAAAAAGACGATTGGAGTTTCCTGGGAAAATATGTGCTCTTATGATCAATTAGTAGGACACGTAGTTAGAAACTCAATAGTTGGAAACTCAATAGCTGAAACTCAGCATATTGATTTTCCATAGCAATTTTTATTTAGCAAAAATTACTCATCAAATTCAGTAGCATAAAATCTGTATGCCATCTCTTTCTGCCAAAACACTTAATGCACTCCTCGTTGTTTATAGTAAGGATGGTGCTGTGTTTTCAAATATAACTTCTTCTATTGGACATACTGAATCATTGGGAAGGTTCAATGATAACACAAACATATCTCAAAATAGGACATGCATCAGTCAGACACTTCTTGCTAATAGTGGTTTGTTTCTCTGCTAAGCCTCTAATCATTACCAGTATTCTTACCACAGGCAGTCAACTTCACCTTCTGGTGGAGGGACAGCTGATCAATTTGTCTGGGCATACCAAAAATATATCCTTGGTCATACCATATCTCCTTGTATTCTCATTTTGAATATGTTTTGTAGAAGAATTTGAGTTGACTTATTATTTCTTATAAGAGAAATTCCTTCCTTCCTTCCTTCCTTCCTTCCTTCCTTCCTTCCTTCCTTCCTTCCTTCCTTCCTTCCTTCCTTCCTTCCTTCCTTCCTTCCTTCCTTCCTTCCTTCCTTCTTTTCTTCCTTCATCCTTTTTCTCTCTCTCTCTCTCTCTTTGTTGTTTACAGAAACAGGTGTAGTAGTTTTTCCTGGAAAACTACAGATACAGGTGAAGCCTGTCATTTTTCCCTACTGAGCAAGCTTCTTCGCTTCAGAATTAGACAGCAGATTTTTCTGCTCTCCCAGATGTACAGCCTTGGGCTGCTTCTTTGAGCTTCTCTTAGTTGCCTTCAGCCAAGTTCCCACCTCCCATGCACAGCATTTCTCAGCCCACTTATATACTTTTTACAAAATGTTTTAGGCAATGAGTAATTGGAAATTAAAAATTTAATAATGCCATTTACTATGGTAGTGAAACCATAAAATATTTAGGAATTAATTTAACAGAGGACATACAATATCGTCCCCCGAAAACTACAAAATGGTGTGCAAAGTTGAAAAGACCCATGTATGCATAAAGAAAGCAATATCATGTATAATGATTGGAAGAATCGGTTTTTAAAAAATGAGCATTCTCCTACTTCTTTGTGGCATAGGTTCATCACAATTACATATTCTGTAAATTCTCTGTAGTCTTTTTTAAGAATATAAATGCGCCATTTGTGAAAGGTATTTGAAAATGTAAAAATACTTAGAACATACAACAGGTATTTTAAGAAACAAAGATAAGTGATTTCAAGATGTGTTATAGACTGCAGTACTCAAGACAGGGTGGTATCAGCAAAGTAACAGGTTACTGAATAATAACACCAAGAAACTGAGTCACATGTAATGATCAAGTAAAGAAAGAGCAATTTAATGAGAAGAAAATGTTTTACAAATGCTGCCAGAAAAACAGGATATCCAATTTAAAAAATATATGTATATATATGATATATATTATATATATTAGTTTTAAAAATTATTTTTGTTTTATGACAGGTTAATAGGCACGGAGGTCTCACTCCTTTCCCCTCTCTAAGTTTCCTCCCCTCCCCACTGATCTCCCCTTTAGTTTTAAAATGAGTGTTTTTCATGAACTTTCACAAATCCATCATGCTGTCACTGAGGTGTTTCCCAAAAATGTAGGCATGGACAATGTTGGAGAGTCCAACATCCAACTGTCGGGACATTATCAGCCACATCGCTGTGAGTCCATCCTTGTACAGCATGCATGCAGACATACTTCTCTCTGTTTCCACCTATGCACATATTAATTTCCATTATGCATCCCCTTAAATACAGAGCCAGTGCACACAGTCCACCATGGGGAGAAAAAATAGTGAACCTTCATCCACATGAAGCTAACGAACATGTAACAAAGGTATCAATGTGATGCTCAGTTGGCGGAATAGTGTCAAGAATCTTCATGTAGGAGTAGGTCCAGTGTGTGTCCAGTGTGGCACTAATGAGAGGACAATAAGGACTGGATCATCATTACTTATGCACAATAACAATAACAGTGATAAAAGGTACATTAACAATCTCAGGTAATTATAAGTACGTATAACCCCACAATGGAAGGATGTAACAGAACAGAATTCAAGGAACCAAGGAAGATCAACGGAATGCATTTCTCCAAAAGAATGTAGGCAGACATGTATCTATTGTAAGAGATTGTGCCTTGGTGAGGCTCAGTGCTAACACGGCTAGGGGGAGTTTTGCACATCATCTCAGGGAATGGCTCTTTCCTATTTCAATTTACAGTAATATGATGTGAAATCTAAGGATTTTACTTGTGAATTTTAGCTTTTTGCACTTCCTAGTTATTTGTACCTTTTGTAATAAGATCTTGTGATGCTATTCATTAATCAATCATCCATAAGAGACAGATTGCTTGTAATCACCTGAGATTGTTAATGTCCCTTTAAAAATATTTAAAATCTTTATTTGAAATGCAGAATTGCAGAGAGAGGTAGAGACAGAGGCAGAGCCAAAAGGATAAAGAGAAAGAGGGAGGGAGGGATAGAAAGAGGGAAGAGAGAGGCAGAAGGTGAGGGAGGGATAAAAGAAAGGATAGAGGAAAGAATGTTGAGAGAAAATGAATGAACCTCCCACTCACTGGTTCACTCCCCAAATGGCTGCAATGGCCAGGGCTGGGCTAGGCCAAAGCCAGGAGCATGGAACTCCATCTTAATCGCCTATGTGGGTGCAGAAGCCCAAGTAGTTGGACCATCTTCCTGTACTTTCCCAGGCACATCGGAAATGGATCAGCTAGGATTCTGACAGGTGCTCATAAGGGATGCTGGCATGAGTGAAGATGGCTTAATTGTACCAAAATGCTAACCCTTGGATATCCAAATTTCAAAAATTATTAAAAATGTTTATCTTATTCCATATTCAAAAAGCATTTTTTAATATATGATGTGCTCCCAAATTAATAAATTTCTAGAATAATGTGAGAATATTTTATGACTATGTAGGAAAGGCTAAGATTTCTTAGTAGGAACAAGAAAAACATAAATTGGACTATATCAAAATAAAAAATATATCAAAGTGCATTCTTTTTTTTAAAGATTTATTTTTATTATTTTTTATTGGAAAGGTAGATATACAGAGGAGAGACAGAGAGGAAGATCTTCCGTCCGATGATTCACTCCCCAAGTGAGTGCAACGGCCGATACTATGCCAATCCGAAGCAAGGAGCCTCTTCTGGGTCTCCCACGCGGGTGCAGGGTCCCAAAGCTTTGGGCCGTCCTCAACTGCTTTCCCAGGCCACAGGCAGGAGCTGGATGGGAAGCGGGGCTGCTGGGATAGAACCGGCGCCCATATGGGATCCCGGGCGGTGCAAGGCGAGGACCTTAACCACTGCGCCACCGCGCCGGGCCCCAAAGTACATTCTTAAGAAAGTATGTAGATAAGTGATAGACTGGGAGACAATATCCATAACAAATATACATGACAAAGGGCTTATATCCAGACTATATAAAGAATTCCCACAATTCAATAACCAAAAGCATATGATATAAAATAGACAACAAATTTATCTAAACACTTCACAAGGTAAGTTAGATTAATGGATAATAGCTGCATTTGAAATGTTCAATGTAATCTAAAAATGCAAATTGAAACATTTAAGAAGATTGACAATACAAGATTCTAAAGATGTAGAACATCTGAAAGCATCAAATATAGCTTGTGGACTGTAAAATTATGCAGCCAATGTGGAGAAAAGCTTTACAATTTCTTTCAAATTTGAATATATATGCACCCTATGTCCAGCTGATTCCTTCATAGCTGTGTATGTAGGAGAATTCAAAACAGCTATCCCACAGAAACATTGATCCAGGAAGTCAATAGGGTAATTTGTTCACTGGGCTCCCCCCATGAGAACAACCAAGAGCAATGGATAGATACATCAACTGCAATAGCAATAAAAAGAAAGGAATGGCTGATACATCTGAAAATATGAATGACTCTCAAAAACTTTACATGGAGTAAAAGCAGTTAGAAATAAAGTAGTGTGTAATTTATAATTTCATTTCAAGAAGCTCAGAATTAGCAAAAATAAATAGGATAAGAGAAATTAGGTGAGTGATAGCTTCTGAGGCCGAGGATGGGAGAGGACTTACTAAGCCCAATCAGGAGGGGCTGGCTGGGCAACACAAATGTTTCATGTCTTGGTGATGATGTAGTTCAAGTATGCATATTGTCAAACTGAACTATACACGTAACAGCAATGAATTTCACTGACTGTAAAGTGTTCTTAATAAAAAATAGTTGAAAATATCCATTACACTTAGGCTTTGGCTGTTCTACCTTTTTTTTTGCTTAAAACACAGTGTTATCTCTTTAAATACGGGACAATTTTATCCTAGAACAATGTTATTCCTACCCCAGGGAATGATCCAACGTGTGGCATATTTTCTGCCCTTACTAAAAGCCTGGGACAGTAAGGTGCTGAAGCATGGTTCTGGGGTGGTCATTCCCTAAACATCAAGTTATCTAGGATTTTCTTTCCAAAAATCTCAATATATTAAAAAGATATATTGAATCTCTTTATTCCCCCATTCATGTCATCTTTTGGCAACAATTAAAATGCAAAGTTACTTTTAAAGATTTATTTTATTTTTATTGGAAAGGCGGATATACAGAGAGGAGAGACAGAGAGGAAGATCTTCCGTCCGATGATTCACTCCCCAAGTGAGCGCAACGGGCCGATGCTATGCCGATCCGAAGCCAGGAGCCTCTTCCGGGTCTCCCACGCGGGTGCAGGGTCCCAAAGCCTTGGGCCGTCCTCAACTGCTTTCCCAGGCCACAAGCGGGGAGCTGGATGGGAAGTGGGGCTGCTGGGGTAGAACTGGCGCCCATATGGGATCCCGGGCGTGCAAGGTGAGGACCTTAACCACTTGCGCCACCGCGCCGGGCCCAGAGTTACTTCCATTTTTTCTCTTGTAAATCTTCTCTACTTTGTGCAGTGTTTCTTGTTTGTCCACTCTGACTCATATTTATATTGTTTTCATCTCTATTAAGTTTTTGATACCTTTTGAAGTAATTTTTGTTGTTCATAAAGAAAGAAGAAAAGAAAAGAATTAAGGAAAAGAGAAGATTCTGCCCAAGGAGCCTGGATTTCTTCAACAGAGTGCCTTAGATAAATCCGTGCTTCCATTAAGCAAATTTCACTTGGCACTGATTGTGCTGTGTGTTATTACACCTTCAGACTGTAGATGGCCTGAGGCATTCTTATTAGTTCCAATTTTCCTATTAAATTATATTTCTAAGATTTTTTTATAAGGACAAAACAAACACCATTTGTTTACAGTTAAATGTTAGCCAGGCCCTTTTCTGCTTATCGTGGTTGCCCATAGATACCCTAATGGCTCTCTTACTGCGGACTTTGGCATCTGACTTGATGCATGGCCCTCTATTCCCATTATCGCCCTATGGCATTGCCTGATTAAGTACCCCATCCTGTATCAGTTACTGACTTTCTTTAGCCTTCACATCAATTCTGCTTCAACAGTCCACCTCTGTGTGCTAACTGTGGACTCAACCATCACCATTTCCGTTTTGAAAAGTTGTTTTATTGAGGGATGTTTCATATAGCATAGAATTCATCTGTTCAAAATGTAAAATTCATTGGAAAGCAGATTCATAGCTTAACACAAGGTTGCAATGTTTTGTTTGCCTTTAGCAGCAGCCCCACTTCATTTTTATTCTACTTCTGTCTTCTCATTTCCCTGCCCCTTGACCCTCAGCAACCACCAATCTACCGTTTGTGTCTATATTGTGGACCTTCATATCAGTGGAATCCTATGGTATCCATAATATTTGTGACTGTAGTATTTCATTTAGCCTACTGTACGAGGTTCACACATGTTGTACAGTATGCCAATACTGTATTTTTACATTCAACTAACATTCCATTATATAGGCTTACCTATCACTCTGTACACACGTGGGCTACTTTCATTTTTTAATATTATTCATAATGTTGCCACAAGCAATGTGCAGTTTATATGTGAATATATGTTTTCGTCTTCCTTAGATATATATTTAGGAATAGAATTCTGGGCGTGTTTTATATTGCTCACTGTTTAATAATCCACATCTCACTCCGTGAGTATTAAGCGTACTGATCTCTTCTTTCCCTATCCACCAATTTTTTTTATTACAGAAAAATCAAATATGATATTTCTCCATATTGCATGGTGCCTTTTAAGTGTATTCTCTTGTGTGTATTCCCCATGGCCTATGTTTTGAACTACTCATTTGAAATAACTCTCAAATCTCTTTGTTTTCTTTCTTTTATTGCACAATATGAAGCCTCGGCTTAGGCTTTTTCTGCTATTAACAACTTTCTAGCTTAGCACAATTAAAAATTCCTAGTCGGGGCCCGGCATGATGGCGCAGTGGTTAAGGTCCTCGCCTTGGACCGCCCGGGATCCCATATGAGCACCAGTTCTAATCCCGGAGGCCCCACTTCCCATCCAGCTCCCTGCCTGTGGCCCGGGAAAGCAGTCGAGGACGGCCCAAAGCTTTGGGACCCTGCACCTGCGTGGGAGACCCGGAAGAGGCTCCTTGCTTCGGATTGGCATAGCATCGGCTGTTGCACTCACTTGGGGAGTGAATCATCGGACGGAAGATCTT